TTAATAAAAATATCAAATAGTGCTGGATCCAGGACAAACCCATGTGGGATCCATTAGATGCATACTCTCAGTTTGACAGTGAACGGTTAATAACTTCTCTTTGACTACAGTCTTTCAACCAGTTTTGCACCTACCTTTTAGTAATTTCATCTAGACCACATCTCCCTAGTTTGCTTATGAGACTGTCATGTGGGTCTGTATCTGAAAAGCCTTACTAACATGAAGGTAAAAAACATTTACAGTTTTATCCTCCCATCCACTAGTCCAGTAACCCTGTCAAAGAAGGAAATTAGGTTGGTGTGGTATGATGTGTTCTTTACAAATGTATTTTGACTATTACTTATATATATAGGTGCTTACAAATTGATTAGAGAGACAAGGTGGGTGAGGCAATATTTTTTTATTGGACCAACTTCTGTTGGTGAGAGACAAACTTTCAAACCACACACAGTTCTTCGTCATGCCCGGGAGAGTACTCCAAGAGTCACAGCTAAATGCAAGGTGGAACATATTATTTAGCATAAGTAACTAGCACTTATTCTAAGGGACCATTCAAGGTAGAATGGCCTGTTAACACTTCTGCAGACATAGGACAAAAAGAGGGGGTTAGTGGATTAAAGATTGTTGTAATAAAACATACATCTTAGGGAGGAGGGATAGCTCAGTGGTTTGTGCATTGGCCTACTAAACCCAGGGTTGTGAGCTCCATCCTTGAGGGGGCCATTTAGGGATCTGGGGCCTAAAAAAAAAAATGTCAGGGACAGTACTTGGTCCTGCCTAGTGAAGGCAGGGGACTGGACTCAATGACCTTCCAGTTCTATGAGATAGGTATATCTCCATATATTACTTATCCAGTGTCTCTGTTCAGTCCATGATTGTTAGCGTCTAGCAGAGTTATGAATTTAAGCTCCCAGGCTTGTCTTTTGAAAGTATTGTGCAGGTTTCCTTTGAGGATGAGGACTGATAGGTCAGATATAGAGTGATCACTTTGTGAAAAGTGTTCACCCACAAGTGATAGGGTCTTTTATCATTTTCCTGTATGAGTTCATCCAAGAGTATAGTGGTTGTCTGGTTTCACTCACATAGTTGTTATTTATCAGAGGGGTAGATGTGTTAGTCTGGATCTGTAAAAAGCAACGAAGAGTCCTGTGGCACCTTATAGACTAACAGATGTATTGGAGCATGAGTTTTCGTGGGTGAATACCCACTTCGTCAGACGCATGCTTTTTATAGTTGTTACTGGGGCATTTAGTGCACTGGATGAGGTATGCTGTATATTGTGATAGGCATGTGTAGGATCCATGGATCTTGAAAGGTGTGCTGTGGGGGATGTTGATCATTGTAACAGTGGTGATATGTTTGCAAGTTTTGCCAGGTGTAAATAATTTTGTGCCTTAGCCTTTCTTATTTTGTCCTTACATGCTTGTGTTATTCTTTTGTACTCCTCCTTAGTAATTTGCCCATATTTCCACTTTTTGTAAGACTACTTTTTGATTTTCAGGTAAAGAGCTCTTGATACAGACCCTTTGGCCTGAATAGGCCTATTACTATTCTTCTTACCTTTCCTTTGCATCAGGATAGTTTGCTCTTGCAGCTTTAATATTGCCTCTGGGAAATTGCCAGCTCTCCTGCACTTCTTTTTCCCTTATTTTTCTTCACCTTGAACCTTACCTACCAGTACTCTGAGTTTGTTAAAGTCTGATTTTTTGAAGTTTATTGTCCTTATTCTGCTATTCTCACTCCTTCCTTTCCTTAGAATCATGAAATCTATCATGTCATGATCACTTCCACCCAAATTGCCTTCATCCTTCAGATTCGCAACCAATTCCTCCCTGTTGGTCAGAATCAAATCTACAATGGCTGTCCCCTAGTTATTTCCTTTACAGTCTGTATCAAAAAGTTGTCCCTTATATATTCCAAGAACTTACTGGACATTTTGTGTTTTGCTGTGTTACTTATCCAACTGATGTCTGGGTACTTAAAGTCTCCCATTATTAACGAGTCTTGTGTATTGGATATTTCTGTGATTTATTTTAGAAATGCCTCATCCACCTCCTACTCCTGATTTGGTGGCCCGTAGTAAACCCCACCTATGACATCTCCCTGTTTTCCCCCTATTATTTTCACCCAGATATTTTCAGCTGGTCTGCATCTCACCTCCTTCTGGACTCTCAACAATTATATATATCTTGATATACAATGCATCATCTCCTCCTTCCCCCCCCCCCCGCCTTTCCTTCCTAAACAAGCTAAACCCCTCTATGCCAATTCCAGTCCAGTCATGAGATGTATCCCGCCATGTCTCTTTGATGCCAGTTAAGTCATGATTTAGCTTATGTACAGTTCTTCCTGCTTATTCCTCGCATTCATATTTTACATATTGACACAGTCAACCTGTGGAACTCTTTGCCAGAGGATGTTGTGAAGGCCAAGACTATAAAAGGGTTCAGAAAAGAACTAGATAAGTTCATGGATAATAGATCCATCTATGGCTATTAGCCAGCATGAGCAGAGATGGTGTCCCTAGCCTCTGTTTGCCAGAAGCTGGGAATGGGGAACAAGGGATGGATCACTGATGATTACCTGTTCTGTTCATTCCCTGTGAAGCACCTGGCATTTGCCACTGTTGGAAGACAGGATACTGGGCTAGATGGACCTTTGGTTTGACCCCATATGGCCATTCTTATATTCTTATGTTCATTGTTGTGGTTTGGAAATTAATATCAGTCTATCTGCATGAACTTTCAGCCAATTTCAAAATCCGCTGCATCAGCCATACAAAAAGCTTGGGAAGGAGAAGGGAAGTCCATTCGGCCACTTCCACCTCTCTGGGAGGGGCTCAGCCACTGTCACTCTAATTGTGGGGTGAAGTCATTGCAAACCCTATATCCTGTTGTATGTAGGATCCCAGATTACCTTGATCCAGCCCAGGGCCTAGTATCGAGGAGTCTTCCCCCAACCCAACACCAATTAGAGCATTGTTTTGTATCTAAATCCAAAATAAATGTAGATTTGTGTATGCATGGTATGGGGAAGGAAGTGTTAGTGAATGGGGGAACAAGAGGAGGAGGAAATGGCACGTTTCCCTAGCTCTGATAGTCTGACATAGACTCAATTCTGAAAGCATAAAAAAAAAAAAAGAGGACAGGTATTGCTTGCTTATTGGGTCATGTTATACTTTTTTGCTCTAGGCCTTTTTTGCAGTAATGGAATTTTACACACAATGAATCAGAGGGGAGAATCAAAACTAAATTTAAAACTAGCCCTCTGAAACAAGCCAGTGCAACCAAAATCCAAGCACTCCATACAACTGTCAGTTGTCCTGATATTATTAAAGACATGAAAGCAGTTGACTTTGGTTGTGGATGAATCATCTTTCCCCCCATTAGTTTTGTGAAAATTTAGCAGATTTGCATTTTTACAATTAAATCACACACACACACAAGCATCGGATAATTTTTCTAAATCAAACAGCTCTTGTTCTATCTCTAGAATTAGTGTATTCAGTTTTGGGCATAATTTGCTACACTGAAAGAAACTCACCCATACAGTAATATGGCTAACATGGCTTAGAATCAGACATCAGTAAGAATTTCCATGATTAGTGTGAAATATTTTTCTGTTTTTACATGTAAATGTTAACTCGAGGCAAGTGAAATGAACTCAAGTGATGGCACGCAGATTACTTCCATGACAGATTAAGTGTCCTGAGTGTTAATTAGGATATGTCCATCAGAAATACTGAACTTGATGCTTGCTATATATAATAAGTCACAAAGTCTTTAATTAAGCTTCACCTAATTTGAAAATAAATGAATGAGCTTTTTTTCTATGCAATTTTTCACTGCAGCAACAGAGTTCAAATTAATCTCTGTAGCACATTGGTAAAAACAAAGCAATGAGAGAAAACATCAAATGGACCACACACAAAAATGTAAACCAACCCCCAACAATCCCTGATAACTACACCATATCTCACCAGTCAATAAACCAAAACAAATAAACCCCTTGGAGCTAACATGCTATTTGCTGCCATCACATTGTTTACTCTGTTTTTGTCTTGTTTATGAGATTATTTTATCAAGACAAGGACTGTCTGCTACTCTGTGTCTATACAATGCCTACCACAAAGGGCCCCAGATCTTGGTTGGTCACTAGGCACTACCGTGATAAACATGATTATCAATAATAATAATTAAAATACGCATGCAGGGAACTCAGAAACTTGCCTGTCAACTTACACTTTGGGAAGTGTATACTGCCACTGTCTTATCCACTCCAGCTTGACGGGTTCAAAGTTCCTCAGTAAAACCACCCCAAAATTGTATTTTTCTGTTGCATATCAGTGCTTTCACCAATTCTTTTCCTAATATTAATTTTTTCTGCAGATCCTCCAAGAGCTTCAAGGAAAGCTACAGAAGATCTTTGCCCTCCACAGCAACGCTATTTGCATTTACACATTGGCGCCTGGTTCCAACAGCCTCGACACTCCACCTAGCTGGTTTCCCTGCAGCCATAAATCTCAGTCACCAAGGGGGAAGCAGGCATGTTAATACTACTGGGGATATTTGCACCTGTGACTGGGCCAAGGGATCTGCAATAACACCCCATGTTGCCTCCCTTAAAGTCCTGTTGTCTGAGTTTGGGTGGCTGAGAGGAAAAGGCATGCTATTAAAGAGTGTAGCACAATGCACCATCGACCTTCTGCTCCACCATGAACCAATTCCAAAAATACACAGTAGGTTTGTTCTTGCATTCTAAACCCCATTTAACAGTAGATCCCTCCTGGAGGGCACAGAAGGGGAGTGCCATACCTTCCAACATGAAGAATTTGTGTATTTTATCTGGTATTAGTACTGGGTCAGACAGATTTTTCCCCCTTCAATCTGGTACATGTCAGTATATAGTTGGAGAGAGAGACAGCGAGACAGAGAGAGAGACAGAGAGAGAAAAACTCAGCTTCCATATTAAGCAGCTCAAGAGACAGAGAACAGCCTTACCCTTCCAGAGAAATGGTTCGTTGTAAGCTCATTGTGGGTGGACGCGTTGCAGTGCTGTGCTGGGAATGACTGTATAGACAAGGAAGAATAAAGAAAAGTATTTGTTAAAGAAATATGACTACTTGCTGATTCTCTTGTTCTTACTGTAATGGGTAGCCACAATTAAGATATAACGGATGACCCAGAAATAATTACCAGATTACTGAAATTACTGTGAGATATTCCTATGCATCTCTCATATATACTGATCCTTGTGCTCTCTCTCTTTGGATAATAAGGGGAAGAAACCAATTATCTTGTCTCCTGTTTAATAAGATGTTATTCCTCATTAAAAACAGATTATAACTAGACAGACTTGGAAGGATCCATCTTTTAAAAAAATATATGAATACAACAGATTGTATTTTTCAAGTGACTTAAAACAACTCAGATGCTAATTGTTATTTATATAAAATGTAGCAGTAGAACAACTGGGAAATGAAATCAAAGTGCTCTTATCATCATAGTTCACTATGCAAATTTTTTATTGTTTGCTATGTAGAATTTTCAGCAAAAGATTTTGAAATCTGCATCTCTATAACTTTTAACTATGGACATTTTTTCCAGTGGATTTTAGATGGAGGGAGATATTGATTATTGCAGACATTTACTATTAATAGGTACTGTTTCAAAACCAAATAATTTTCAGCACAAGCCAAACAGTGGATACACAATGTAAACAGAAACGGGATAATAGCTTTTATTTAAAATAAGTATGATAATAAAGGCAATAATAGACCCCCAGTGTGAACCGACTAGCATCACCAAAATTAAAATAGTTAACCGCCAGCAGTAGTATTGGATTTGACATTAAATTAAAGAATACGTACCAGGAGAAGTGGGGGAATGAGCTAAAGCTGATAGTAACACAGATATTTTGACAGTTAAAACAAGTCACATATAGTTCAATCATAGTATTGGCTCTCCCAGAAATTTAGTCGTAGGGCTGGATAGAATTGTTTCATCACTTTTAAAAGCACAACCTTCTGGAAGCTATGCTTCTAGAAGTCATATAAAATGATAATGCCCCTCCTGGATAGTAGCAGATGTAATTATGAGCTCACCAGCTATTTCAATGCTTGCCTATAAATAGTGAAGCTATTAGCACCCTAAATATGACATATAACCAAAAACAACTTTGGTAATCCTCAAGCTATGGTTTCTAGAGCTGGCCAGAAAATGGAAATCACTTCCTGTGAAAGTTTTTGAATTTTTGTCTGTATGAATCAGGACAAAAAGTCAAAAAACATTATTATTTTTTTGCAGGAAGGAACTTCCAGAAAAATACCATTTGGGGAGAACCAAAACAGAATTTTTGAGGTTACTGACTGTCCACCTGGCAGGACATCTGCCTGGCTCCTCAGGAGCCAGCTGCCTGGGGAGGCAACCAGCTCAGGAGCAGGGCAACCATGGGAGCTACCCAGCTGGGGAGCTAGCCACCCAGTTCTTTGAGTAGCCGATGGAACAGGGGGCAGGCAAGGCTGGTGAGCTTTGGAGCCCGCCAGAGGGGCTGTGGTGCGACCTGGACGCCAGGGGATCCTGGTTTCCCAGTCAGCCCTCCAGGTGAACTGCCAAGAAGCTGGAAAGCTGGAGCTTTCATTTCAATATTCCTGATGGAAAGATCAAACTTTTCTGACAAAATTTAAATTTTCCCGAGGAAAATTTTGATTTTGTGGAAACTGCATTATCCATTGGAAAATGATTCTACCAGAAAATTTCTCAGCAGCTCCAGTGGTTTCTCTCATACCAAATCATGACTGATTGCAGAACCTGTTGAACCCACACACACGCATGTACCCAATGGGGACAGTAGTATACAGTTGCTTAGAATATCAGTAGTTGAACCAGTTCTGCTCTCATACTGACACAAATCAAATGGAAAGATTCCCACTGGTTACTGTGGTAGCAGGATTGGGCCCATAGTCAGAAGGCGGCAGAAATTTCACGGGGCTTTATTGTGATTAGTTTAAGTGTTTACACGGTACCTTATAAATTTTGGTTCTACTGCACGGTGTAGGGGAAAAAAAACATTAATGCCATTATATATCATTGATCCACTAAGTTACAGTTTTTGCCTTTTGCTATAAAGCATTATACAGTTATTGAACAACTATGACAGTCCGTTAGGATTAAATACTGCATTATATTTTCATTAAAACTACAAAGCTCAGCATCAGTGGGCACCACACATATATTTTACTGTTCATTTTATTTTGCTGCCTAAAGAACATATGCTGTGTGATGGAGGACACAATTCAATAAACAATGTAATTTCTCTAGCTGTTTAGCACATGAAGTTGTAACATATGGCACTGTACCACAGGGCAAGCACTACACTCGCTCCCCACTTTCCTTTCCAATAGCTAGTGCTTCACACTATTTCCATTTTTAGTGGATGTTGTGAAGTGGTAAATAGAATTAGGAATAAATTGTCAGTTTGCAGAATGGAGAGACATAAATAGTGGTGTTTCCCAGAGATCTGTACTGGACCAGTGTTGTTCAACATATTCATAAATGATCTGGGAAAAGGGGTAAACAGGGAGGTGGCAAAATCTGCAGATGATACAAAATTACTCAGGATAGTTAAGTCCAAAGCAGACTGCGAAGAGTTACAACGGGATCTCACAAAACTGGGTGATTGGGCAACAAAATGGCAAATGAAATTCAATGTTGATAAATGCAAAGTAATGCATATTGGAAAACATAATCCCAACCATGCATGTAAAATGATGGGGTTTAAATTAGCTGTTACCACTCAAGAAAGAGATCTTGAGACCCATGCTTACACAATGGAAGGAAAGGTTTTTCAAAACCCATTGCTAGAACCCTGGCACAGAGGCAACTGAAGGAGTCAGACAAGGATTTGACCACATATTTTCAATTTGAGTGAATGACAAAAGAAAATTAAAATCTCCACCGACCCAGTAAATCCTAAAAGAATCCTAATTTTTCTAGGAATGTCATCACTGCAAGATCTGGCCCAAAAAGGAAATCTGATCTGGCACCTCTCCTCAAGATATTTTAACCCTCAGTCACTTTTTCAAGCCATCTTCCTTATTAGAAGGAATACATTAGACTCTTGCAATCAGAACAGGAACACTTGTGTCCAATCACAACTAATCAACAGAGCTTTAATTTTGAGGGTGGGATTTTCAAAAGCAATCAGCCCTGGCCTACCTCTGCTACCACTGAGGTCATGGGTTAGACTCCCATTCATTTCAGTAGAAGCACATTTAGACCAGTGCTTAGTGCTTGGAAAATTCCAGCCTAAATATGACTATCAACAGCAAACTGCTCACCATCCATCCATAAAGCTAAGAAAAGTTCAGAAAACAAGTGTCAAATCATAGTAACAAATACATTTGAGGGAATGATGACCTGGTCTTAGATGTCCACAAGTGAATACAAAGAGACTACAGTCTATTCATAAATGAATGAATTCAGGGTTGTGAATTAGTGCCTCAACTCTAAAAGGGTCAAAATGAAGAAAGGGACCAAGCCGATCATCCTAATAAAGAAAGAGTCCAAGTTTCCAACTAAGCAGTAATACCTCATCTACGCTGCTGAATTCAAACTGATCCTGAGCATTAATATTTCATACAGACTATTTAGTACAAAACCTAAAGTATAAAACTAGTTTTGACAGATCAAGTTCTTTCTAATCATTTTGAACACTGGAGAAATAATTATAAGAATTACATCTTCATTTTTTTAGTTTGGACCTTACAGTATTAAAGAAAACGTTTTTTGTGTTAATGAAGAACTGCAGAAGAGTGCTGTTATTTTCTTATTCATAGATGGAGCTGCTACTAGAAGAAGAAACTCAGAGTTACAAACACCAGAGTTATGAACTGACCAGTCAACAACACACCTCATTTGGAATTGGAAGTGACCAATCAGGCAGCAGAGACAAAAAAATAAGCAAATAGTGTACAGTACAGTATGAAATGTAAACTACTAAAAGATATAAAGGTAATGTTTTAAAAAAAGACAACAAGGAGTCTGGTGGTACCTTAAAGACTAACAGATTTATTTGGGCATAAGCTTTCGTGGGTAAAAAACCCACTTCTTCAGATGCATGGAGTCTTTAAGGTACCACTGGACTACTCGGTGTTTTTGTGGATACAGACTAACACGGCTACCCCTCTGATTTAAAAAAAAAGATTTGATAAGGTAAGGAAACTGTTTCTGTGCTTGTTTCTTTTAAATTAAGATGGCTAAAGGCAGCATTTTTCTTCTGCAAAGTAAAGTTTCAAAGCTGTATTAAGTCAATGTTGAGTTCTACTTTTGAAAGAACAGCCATAACATTTTGTTTCGAGTTACGAACATTTCAGTTACAAACGACCTCCAATTCCTCAGGTGTTCATAACTGTGAGGTTCCATTGTACTTTGTGTGCCCTCCAATTTGCCAATAGCACCCAGGATGCCAGCAATTAATGAGGTACATAGTTATCAATGCCTCATAAAGAAAGTGACTGTTATCTCCCGCCCTACTCTTTGACATGATGCAATTGCACAAAGGCTCTCTTGTGTCCCTCACAGCACTGCAATGTCGTAGCTAATTTACTGTTCACTATCACTCAATGTACATATATCAATATTTGCAATGCCCAATTTTACATCAATATTTTTCTATCTAAAAAGGTTATGTTTGGAATAATATGTATAGCACGGAGTTAAGCTTTGATTTTAACATTTCTAGCAAAACAGATTAACACCCTAATAACATGTAACATGTGCAGTTTGCAAATATAGACTTAGAGAGACACAGTGCAAGGAGCCTCACCATAATGACAATCCTTGTGCCTTCCTGAGGGAAAGGACTACTCAAGCTTAACACCAATCCAGATACTCTGCTTCCAGAGGGGTCAGAGAAGGAATAAGAGTTATAGCCCATCAAAGTTGGCCCAGCGGAGGAGAGTGAACCCACATGATGATGATATATCATTACAATAGTGCCTGGAGGCCCCTTCTGAGATCAGGGCCCCATTGTGTAAACATGTAGTACAGGGGCGGGCAAACTTTTTGGC